AGGAGGTCTTCAATGCTGAAGCCCAGTAACTCATTGACTGGGCGACTCCCGATGAGTTCGGTGGCAGTCGACGCGTCGTTGACCCAGGCCTTCAGACCGTACAACACAAGCGGTCCATCACGTCGTGTCCAGCGTCACGCAGTTGAACTTGACGCTGTGCGTCATCAGAACTGGCTTGGCGTCACTGCCATAAGGGTACGCCAAATGCGGCACGCTATGGAAACAGTCCCAACTTTGACGCCGGCCGCGTTCAACGCATCCATGACGCCGCGCGTGAAACGGTCACGTCCGAACCAGAGTCCAAGAGCACATCGTCCACGCGGACGATATTCTCCAACAGCACGCCGCGCTCTGTCTTCTGGCGCTGGGGCTGGTTGACCAGCACCTTGATGCCGTCCTTCGAGCGCTTGACTTGCGCTGCCAACAACGTTTCGGCTTCGCCAGGCGAGGTCTTCGGGCACCACGCCACACAGTGACGCATGTCACCGCACTTCAACCAGCCCTTCTTGGCAGGTGGCTCGACGGTCCTGGGCACGATCGCTTCGGCCTTTCCACCGACTCTGCCATTGTTCTTGGCGGCGTCTCCCGGGCGCTGTCACGTCTGGACACTTGAGGCCTGCCGCCTCGTGGAGCTTCTACCGGCCTCGCTGTCGGGGAAGGTTTGGACTCGTCGTCGAGTCCTACGTACAGCTGGTGTCCAGCTGCGAACGTTCACAGCCAGTTGACGTAACTGAAGACGTCGCTCTTCAACGCCTTGTTCCGCTGCAACTGCAGCTGCTTTTGAACCGCTATCTTCGGCGATTCCGGCTTGATCGACTTCGCCATAACTTGGACGACCATCTTGCCTCCTTGATGGAGTACCAACTCCTGATGGTCTTGTTCCAACGAGCGCATCAGCTCGTCCAACATACGACCGATGCGAAACTCCGCGTCCAAAATCATCGTATCGAAACGAATCGCTCGCTGCTGACGTTGCTTCAAAACGTCCAGGCCTTGAGGATCTTCCTCAAACGCTGACTTGAACCACGCGACCCACTTATCGTTTGAGATTGGAATTGTGATCGCGGTTGAAGTCGAACAGCGCGATCCGTCCATGCAGGCACTCACGGGCATCGCGAACGGACGCAATCCATTGCACTGCAGAGCGTTAATCTGCCCCAGATAATTCTGGTACTCGCGCATGAAAGCGCATCTTTCGGCCTTGGTCGAGCCTGAAAATGTTGGCGGCTGCGGGAGCGCCGGCACGTTCCAAACTTGCGGCTCCGTACGGCCGTAACCGCCATCGCTGCCCATGTCCGTATCGTCATGGACGTCCGACGGGTCGTTGTCGGCTGGTAAATGCACTGAAGCGCCATCTGCTTCAGTCGTTGGTGGAGCAGCAGCGGAGACAAACGCTGCAACAGCTGGTGTTCCTCGGGTTGTGGCAAGGGTGTAAAACCCACCACGTGTCGGTTGTCACTCGTCGACAGTAGGTGGCTGTCGTGTTAGGGGAGATCTGAACGGGTTCTAAACGGTGCGCCGAGCGCCGCGTCCTCGATCCGGTCACGCGACCGCGATCGTTCTTCAGCGTACGTTAGCGTTTCCCCGTCGGAGGAATGTTCGCGTACTATCTCCAGTGTATAGCTCAATAATGAACTGTGTATATCTTTAATTTGTCTCCCGTTTCTTCTTGGCTTTCGGCCACGGGACCTTCGTCAAGGTAGCAAATATAACACTGACATTAGTGAGGTTAAACACGCCACGAGGCGCCTACTGACTACCATTCACTAAAGTACTCAGTAAATCCACTAAGATATGCATTATCCACTCTGTGTGTGTGCCGTGTCAAAGGTTCCGATACCTTAGTGGATGCACTGATTACTTTAGTGAATGGTAGTCAGTAGGCGCCTCGTGGAGTGTTTAACCTCACTAATGTCAGTGTTATATTTGCTACCTTGACGAAGGTCCTGTGGTCGAAAGCCAAGAAGAAGCGGGAGATAAAACACGGAGTCGACTTTTGGTCAAACATCGTACTGTAAGTGGTGATGACAACGAAGATGACGAAGTAGTCGAACTGGATGTGCTTGCGCAGAACCTTGGACTCGAGACTACTGTAGTGATATGAATCGTTCTTTGCGTTGTGATGACCGAAATTCCGATGAATAAGTTACATCGCATCGATAATGGCCGAAATGATAATATATATTTCTCATTATTGGTTTTTAATTTGTGTTATCAGCACGATGTTTAGGTCCAAAACTTGAGTAATGCGGAGGTAGTGGCTGCGGAGTTAAGCGAGAACTAATAGTAAGTACTTCGAAGTACAACTTACATGTTAACTGTACTTCTAGTTACAATCCCCCAACTTTCATTTTTTTACTGCACAGATTATTCAAGAGGTGTACAAAAAGACACAGAATTGATAACATTCTATGGAGCACAGTAAATCATCAACTTTGACAGATTCTGACACTTTGCACCTCACCTACTGCTTAACGTTACTTCGAAGTAGGTTACAAAGTGGTATCAAACGCCTTACCGTTAGTGTATGTACTGTATGCATGCCGTGTAGGGCTTGGTCATTGATGTTTGGTCAATGACATCTCTCGTCTGATTCCATTACCAGGTTGAAGGTCGTCCAAAGCGTCCTTGTCGCATCTAGATTCTGAGTGGATGCATCATCATCAACCTGCCAACGAGTACTTGGGGCACCGCGGGTCGACACTTTTTTTACAATGGATTACTCGGTTTCTCTATAATCGCCTTCCAATACTAGGTAGCGTACGCTCCAGAGTACGGCGCGTGTCAACTGAAGCCTGTAATTTCTGCAAAATGGTTCAATTGATGAGATGATAAGGTGCTAGAGGTTATATAAATTGTTTCAGAGGTTTGGCTATAATATTTCAAAGGGTTTTGGTAAATAACCTGCGAAAATTCATGTTGTTACCGGAAATATTAGACATTATCCGGCACAACATAGCTTTTGACCACTTATCCGGTCATGTTTGGTTCACTGTCAAGTTGGGACAGTACTGGAATGTCAACGTGTTGCACATGTTAGACTTATCGTTTTGCTCTCGCGTTCGTTTAACGTTAGTTAGAAAAACGGCAGTCGCAAGGCAGTACAGTCGTTAGATGGAGTGATGCATTGCGGCATTGTTCACAAAGTCGGTGTTCAAGACTAAGGACATCACCTCCGCGTGCACTGAGACCTCTAATGACAACAACAATATTTGACCTGTTAGCACAACAACAATATTATTAAGTTATGGTGCCACTCCAGGTGCGCGACATGCAGCGCCTCATTTAAGTCAGAACACCAGAACACCCTGTTCTTCTAGAGAACATCCCCACTGCCCTGTCAGTCAGGTAGCAGCGTCTGCTAGCCGTGTAGGAGGTTTTTGTGCCTTCTAGAGGCTTTTCCTCACAGTAGAGGACAGCGCAGATTCGTCACGAAACATCACAGGATGTCGTGGCCAATCATAATCTAAGATTTGATTGGCTGTTGGAGGAACTGGCCCATCTAGAGCCAGTTTCTCCTCTGCCGTCAGAATTAATTCACTTCCGGTTCTCCCCTCAACTACTCATCTGTCTGCTGCTGCTACCTGCCCATCCAACTGGTTATGAGCCTTCCACCGACTTCCTCCTCTCGCGCCGCCCTGCCCATCACCCACCGCCCTGCCCATCACCCACCGCCTCGTTGGAGCCGAAAACTACGACGACTGGTTCCTCGAACTCACGTCGATCATCCTCCCTGGTGAAGCGTTGGTCTCCATGGCCACGCAATGCACCGAGGTCGAGACAGTGTGGTCCATGAAGGGGTCTGCGTCTTCACGGACACCAGTGACCTGTTTTGGGGTACGGCCGCCACACAAGTACCGCCAGTGGACCTGGATTTGCTTCTCCAAGACCAGCGGCACCAGCCACTTGCGTTCAACAGTGGGTCGTTTTTTGGCGCGAGTGCGCGTTGGCCCATCGTGGAGAAGGAGGCCTATGCCGTGGTCGAGTCGTGCAAGAGACCCGACTACCTGGTCGTACGTCCGGGTGGTTTCCGTCTGTTTACGGATCACCGCATCCTGGGGTACATTTTCAACCCAAGTGGCTCGAACGCCAACATGGTCAAGTACCAGGCCGACAAGCTGCAGCGATAATCGCAGGTGATGTCGACCTTCCCGTACACCATTGAGTGCGTCTCGGGGGACGCGAATGTATGGGACGACCTCCTGAGCCGATGGGGTTCGGCTCCGACGGATCAACCAGTTGCGAATGTTCGCAAGTTGATCCATGTGGTGTCGCCCCTGCAACAAGTGGAGTTCGAGTGACCGACAGCCGCTACGATCAGCGGCATCCAACGTTCAACCATGAAAGGGGGAGGGACCCCCCCAAACGGCGTGGATTGGGACGACGACTCGCATTTTTACGTGGACTTAGACGGACGAATCTCGATCCCAGAAGGTGCTGTTGACCTACAGCAGCGGATTTGTGTAATCGCTCACCAAGGAGCCAGCGGTCACCGTCGCATCGCAGCGACGACCAAGTCGGTGTCCGACACGTTTGTGTGGAAGACGCTTTCCACGGACGTCGAAGCGTTCGTGCGTGCCTGTTTGTACTGCCTGTCCATTGACGGAGAAATGGTTCCCCGTCCAGTGGGTTCGGCACTTCACTCGGAGAAGTCAAACGAGCTCATCCATTTCGACTGGTTGTCGATGCCCATGACCAAGTCTGGTAAAAAACAAGTGCTTGTCGTGAAGGACGGCATGAGGGCTTTGTGCAGCTGTTCGCGGTAGAGTCCGCTGACGTCGCCGCGACTGCTCAGTGCCTGATGACGTAGTTTACCACGTTCGGCTGCGTTAATACATGGGTGTCAGATGGCAGCTCTCACTTCAAGAACGAAGTAATCGAGAAGGTGCGGAAGTTGGTCCCACCATCATATCACGACAGCCTACAGTCCTTGGGCGAACAGGACTGTAAAAGTAGTCAACCGACTAGTACTGTGCGCCGCAAAGCCGCTGCTCAGCGAAATGAAGCTGAACGCGGACGAATGGCCGCATGTGTTACCCCTCGTTCAAGGTGCCCTCAACCATCAGTCGGCGGACCGGTTGGGAGGAATTGCACCTGTGACAGCGTTTACTGGCCTGTCAGCCATGACCCTGCGGGCAGCCACCCGATGTCCAAGGAAGTTTACGTCGCGGACTGGCTTGGTGCCGCCCGTCAGAAACATGTCACGAACCTCCAAGTGGCGCTTGAAGAAATGCACCGCAACGTGGTGGTGCAAAGCGACAAGTTGTGTCAGCAAGCGCGTGGATGCCGCGATCGAAAATCCCAAGTCAAGTTTGCGGGTTTCTCGGTCGGCGATTTTGTGCTTTCGGAGCGGTCGTCAACCGTCCGACAAAATTGGCCCTGCATTGGCGAGGACCCTGCCAAGTGACCAGAGTCATCACAGACCATGTGATGGAGACTCAGCAGCTGGTGCCATCGTACGAAGTCATGGTCCATCATGCTTGCCGATTGAAGGTGTACCACGAAGGTGGTATAGAGGTGACCGAAGACCTCGAGGCAGATCGCGTTTGGCGATGGCGGATTTCATGTGGAGCGCCTGGATGAAGTGCGCTGCGTGGATGGCCAACACCAAGTTTTGGTGAAGTGGCTTGGACTCGACGATGAAGAATCGTCCTGGGAACCTGCGGCGAATTTGCTGGACGACATTCCAGTCGTGTTTCGCAAGTGGGCGGTGGCCAACAAGGAAGACCCTACCGTGGCTGCCCTCATCAAGACACTGGGCTTTCCGTAGGAGGGGAAGTGTTCTGCAGCGTGCAGAGCAATTGGGTCGCGCGTTAGTTTGACCCATGGCAAACACACACACACACATTGTGTGTGTGCCGTGCCAAAGCTTCCGATACCTTAGTGGATGTACTGAGTACTTTAGTGAATGGTAGTCAGTAGGCGCCTCATGGCGTGTTTAACATCACTAATGCCAGTGTTATATTTGCTACCTTGACGAAGGCCCCGTGGCCGAAAGCCAAGAAGAAGACAATACAGTTATATACTCGGGTCGAGCTATTCTCTCGAAACAACAGCTAAGTTGTTGCTACGTAATTATTTTGCCCCCACCCTTGTTGAGCATCCTCATATCAATACTCTGGATAATAATCCGTATGCATGTCGTGAGTGAACTAACTACAGGTAGTGAAGCACCTTCACTAAGCGATACATGGCTCATGTATCGTGAGCAAAATTGGAAGGCCAGTTTGGTTGTACTAGTAAAGCGAATACAGTGGTGTCAGCTGTCGTCTTAATCGACGACTAAGCGTACAAGGAGGTTAGCTACAGTGTAGTACTTACTACGAAGTAAGTATTTCATTTCTGTAAACTTCTTGAGCCGCCAGCAAAATCTGTCTGTGTGAGAGTGTAGGGAAATAACAAGTGTTTGTATTGGCTGTGGATACGACCATAAATAACTATTATCTAGTGACCTATCTACTGGCATACAAGCACTGCAGTGAGGCTTATTAGTCCTTTAGTGACATGTAATTTGTTTGGGTCATGCGTTGTTGGAAGCGCAAGCAAGGTTCGTTTACGCGGTGCATCATGCGATGACTTCTGTAGTGTGACGATATCCGTAGTTAACGTTAATACTGTACAAGATTGCAGAATATATAAATACGAAGATTTGTGTGCTAGCATTATTAACCCAGAGCTAAATTTGTGCAACAGCAATTGTACACAAAGTTTTCAACCGAATTACAACTAAAATATGTGAAGTCACGCTATAATGTGCGTACGTGTTTGTTGTGGGAACCATAGGCGATGCTGTTCACAATATTGTAAAATACACTGTTGCTGGGTGTAGCGAATATACTAGAGGGGTAGGGAATATACTAAGGGGGTAGTGAATACCATATACGGGGGGTAGTGAATACCATATACGGGGGGATCTACTTGGGGGTAGTCTGCGTAATATATCCTAAGGCACAACTTGCGACTAGAATGCTACTGATGATACGCATCGTTGCCACATACTCGGAGTACTTCAGTAGTACATACATTGTACAGTACGTAAATTTAGTACATACATGTTTATGTACTATTAATAGTATAAAATCGTATTCCACTGCAGTAGTATTTACTGTTAGTAGCGGTATACCTTTCGTACTAGCTAACCAATGTAGCCCAGTGTACTGTACATGAGTGGATTGTTGCGGAATTGATTTCACAGTCTGGAGGATTAAAATTCGTCCGAAACGTGCAGTTGCCGCGTCCTTGCTTAAGGCTTGCGTAGTAAACATATGCTTTGAATCGATGTGAGGGCTAGATCGAAGTTCCCACTTTCACATGCTTGGTAGCAGCGGTTACCAAGAATATAATATTAATATACGATCTATAGTTAATACAGCCGATATTCATGGTCGTCGTACGTATTCTATACGTTGTAACAATACCTATCAGCTATAGCTTTCTAGTCGCAAGTTGTGCTTAAGTATATACTTTATAGTACTAGTATCTACTCACTACCCCCACGTATATTCACTACCCCCCAATATCAACCCTTAGAATATTCGCTACCCCCCTGCTTTTCACTGCGATTCGAACGATTGGCATGCTCACTCTCAACTGGAGGCTGCGGGAAATGGCGAACATAGCCATCCTCGGCGACATAAGCGAGGATGAACGTATGTCTAGACGAAGGAATTGAATTTTGGTGCAAGGCGACTTTGTATTCGATTCCGCTGTTCAAAACGTATACATATGGATCCTCAAATTTTGGCAGTTATACGATGCTTTTTGGAAAAGTATCCACTGCATTCCACGAGAATACCGTTACGTATTTTTTATATATAATAAGTATGCCATATTCTAAAAAGATAACATCGAAATATAGCATCAAGTTAACATAAGTTACATCAATGTTTGTCATAATTTATGACAAACAATTTTAACCATCGAGAAAGTACATGACTTTGTCGTTGAATTGCTCAGCAACAGCTTGTCTGAGCGTGATACATTTAATATGAAAACTGACATGACGAGATGGCTGCGGGCTATATAACGAGACGCCCGCATGCGTCGCCCTAGCACTGAACCCACTCGCCCGTGTACGCTGTCCACATCGCAGGCACTGGTTTCTCGACCAACTGAGCATGCCCCCTCCCTCGTTTGCGACTTCTGGACTTCTATCAACGCATGTGTAGACTATCAATGCAAATGTTGTGTAACAGTTCGTTTTCAAGAGCATTAAAGCGTAGGTGCAATTATAGGTCGCATCCGCAGTAGCACCTGCAACAGAGTTATCACTCTTAAGTATTTATTAGTGATAAACAATAAGGCACCGGTAATGCTACACATTTGTTTCAAGGCATACCAGAGCAAACATTGCGCTGTACAATAGCCGAGTTTGACATGGAAGTCTATTACAGTACAACGTAATACTAATCGTATAATACGTAGTACTAGTACAATTACAATGTAAGGGTCTGGTTGAAGTAAAATCCACCTGATTTTTTTCGACGACTTTTTGCTGTAAGGTTTTCGTTCATTCTTGGGCCTGTACATTGTGCTTCAACATGTGGTGGGTTCTACTGGGCGACATGAGATATGACTGTCAATTTTTTTACGGATGCTATCAGTTTTTCTGATTGTGATTACTACGTCTGTTACTACATAGAATAATTGTTGAAGTACCTGTGGCGCAAACGGGGACCACACTCAATCTCGCAAGACGCTGTCGGTAGATTGTGGGCATACAGAAATCAATCTGGCAGTCAACAAGCCGTATTCATCGAATGAATGCTATCCTTAGTTTTTATTATTGATCGGACATCGTTGCCAACAAAGTTGTTAACGCCGTGAATGCTATAGCGTATTTGGGTTCAACTACGGGTGCTTATTATTGCACTAGCCATGCATTGCCATAAAGCTTGCACAGGCAAAATTTACAGAGCTCCTCGACCTCGACGCGCGACAATTTCGAAGGGCATCTCCACAACTCAACGGGGACCCAAGTTGGGCGCATTTCCGCCTTGCTCCATTGAGGAACTTTCCAGTCATTGGCCTCGGTAACTAAATGTCGCGACCACTACAAAAACATCAATTAACAAATTTGAACACGAACTAACCTCAACCAAGGAATTCATCGCCAGCGAATTGCACTGCGTAATCGTAGATGCTGCGCAGCGAGGAGTGGCAAACTGGCGAACAATTTCGTCTTTCAGCAGCTGCGACCCCTGACCAAACGCATGAAAGTTTTCACTTGGCTTTGACACAAGCACCTTGGACTTGGTGGTTTCTCGTGCGTCTATGATCGTGAGCTACGAACATTGTATAAATAGATCATATTACTCAAAATAAATACAGCTGCAGTGTTTCCACTAGTCGAGGTGTAGTTCCGCTACGCATGAAGTAGTCGGCTATGAGCCCGTCGAATTTTTTGCTGTGTAGCCGAATTGCGTTGAACTGTCACCAAATGCGCATCTTGAGTCAAAAGCCGTAGCTGCTTTACAGGAAATAGGAAAGGCAAACTATCTACAAGGAAGGTAAAGTTAATCGGATATTTTGGGGCGTACCTTTGTTGGCATTGATCATTGAACATTCGATCCCCATGTCGTACCATTCCCTTTGAAGGTCAACATAAATTTGCTTCACACCAGCATTTTGGATGCCGTCTGCATGCTCGAAGGACAATAAAACATCTTGAATGGTCATGAGAACATGGTATTCATGAGACCATGGTATATACTACTTTCTGATCGTACCTTCGTGACCGTTGTGGACTCCAATTAATTGAACCCATCGATGAGGGCAAGGGCCACTGGCGTAGTGTGTCAATGCCAGCTCTTGAAGGCTTTGAGAGTAACCGGCATTGGACAACCTAACATATTGTAAATGAACATCGATTCGTCGAGTACATGTACTGATTCGTACGCTTGAGTAATTCGTTGGCTGTTGGTTCCACGAACTGATTCAGCATCGAAAGGAAGCGTGACACTTCGGGCTCTCGCCACGACGACGCTTTCCTGATGATCTTGTGAGCTTGCTTGCATAATGAGGTACTCGTTGAATCCCTTGCAATCTACAAAACGCCGTCAATGCATGGATTGGTGAGCTCACTGTCACCTTCGGAGTTTGCTGGGGGGGAATTCATTTCACCGTCGAGAATAGCATCGTACGTATCGAGCAGGTACTCGATGTCCATGCTGTAGGAATTTCGAATGAGCAAAGTATTTGAAAGTGGGTCGTTACATAGCCACCCAAAATTGGATGATATCATTTGACAATTCAAATCCTATTATCCAATGAAATCTGTTTTAGAGACCTTGAGTTCAAAATCATGGATCCGTGCCCGCAATGTGGCAACACACTACACGACGGCAATTCGTGCTGTGTTTGTAGCTGGGATTGTCATCGAGCTGCCCGTACGGAACAGCGTACTCGAGTGGCAAGTCAGGGTTCACGATTGGAATCCTACAAGAAGCGAATGTTAGAAGCAACTTCACAGTTCAACGACAAATTCAACTCGGGTTTTACCAACTACGCCAAGGCAACCACAACACCTATTCGAAAGAATGCCCCACATCGGAACGCTCGTGTTCAAGCGCTGCCGACGGCTGTGATGGAGGCGAAGCGAGCCACGATGCACAGCTACTGTACGACCAGTCCGACGAGGGGACCGACTACATAGCTGGGGACGAGGAGGCCCAGGATGAGGAAGCCCAGGATGCGCAGCAATCGAACGACAACCATTTGAACGCTGTAGCCATGTGCGGTACGCCTTCTCCTTCTGTGATAACAAGCGCTGGGCCGTTCAACGCTTACTTTGGAGTTTTACAACGCACTAAAGCATACTTTACACTCGTGCCCGGTAAAGTTCCGGTGTATTTCGTAGCTGACACTATCGTAGGATACTTGTACCTGCTACCAAGTTTGTCGAGCAATTTCAAGAATCCCACGTTCGACGCTAAAGCTGCGCATGTGTACCGCGGGAATTTTTCATTCGACGATGGCACTTTCAACGAGATTATCTACTGTACATCATGTCGTTCACGCCGGTTGTACACAACCACCCGAGCGTTGTTTTCAGGCGACATTACCTTCACGAGTTACAACGACTTCTTGCACCAATGCAATGATGAGGAATGCATTCACGTTAGGTACATACATGACTTGCAGCATAAAGATGTAACAATACTGCACGATGTAGAGATGTACAAGGGTTAACCGTGAACGATATCAAGCCACAATGCAACGGCCTAACATCGCTTCCGCCGTCAATCCTGTTCGTGGTAGAATACGACACGTATTCCACGGTATTCGTAAGTTCGGCCCCCCCAACTGACAACCTCGATCGAGCAGTCCTAAAAGGAGTGGCACGTGATGTATGGAAATGCTGTGTTTGTGCGCCCTCTCGAATGTGCCGCCACGTCGCAGCATGGAGACATTTTGGTGCATCCAGTGACAATATCGGTTTTGTTGAGTTCGATGAATCATGGTGCACCCCACCCGCTCGGCCTGAGAGCGAAGTGAATGCGATGGAGAATACTCAACCGATTCCCAGCAGCGTCGAATCGATCGCAGCTGTCAAGCTGTCTCGGGGTTTTAACGTCCTTCAAGACATGGACTCAAACATGGAATGCGTTGTGGACGCCTCTGTTCAGTGTGTATGTGGAAATCCCTTTGACGAGAACGTAGTACCCGCTTGGTTCGAAGTGAAGGTTGTAGGAGTCACCAACCAAAGAACTTTCAAGGTATTTATTGATGGATTCAAGTATTGTTTTGTGATATACTGCCGTAGACCCATGGCCTTAAGTGTTCGAACACGAGCTGCGTGAGGTACCTCGTGTACAATGGTGTGAGCTGTGGGTTCCTTCGTGCCACGCACGCCGTGTACTTTGACATCGATCTCTGCCACTACATTCGCTCGGCATGGCTCGAAGGGCCAACGTCATTAAGGGGAACGTGGAGGACATTGATGGCGGTCCATGCACTACTTGGTAGTGATTTTTGCACGTGGTCTGCGTATCGAACTGCATGCTGGCAAATTCTCTCTAGGTAGATCACTCTGATTTATCATTGTTAATCAATGCTTAGGGTACATCTTGACATCGTCGATGGTTTGAACTGCCCACACTGCGGTAGCCTGGACACAGCACCAATACTAATTGGGGATGGAACGAAGCTTGCTTGTCGAGCTGACCTTGCCGGAAAAAAGTACATGCCTACAACTTGGGGGGAGGTTCGCCACGGGGTCGACATTTCCAAACGAATACTGATCCGAAACAAAACCTTGCGCAAGTGTTTGAGACATTTTGCGGGTCGTATAACCAAATCCACGGACAAATCTGTTCCCGCAATCATGCTCCACGGCGACCATGCGACCATGATGGGATTGATTTCCACGGATCCAAGGGTGGCATTCATGTACGACTTTATTGGGTACCTGGTACGCAATGCTGGACCGAGTGGTATGTGTCCAGCCGTGTGGTCCGAATTTGTTCGAGATATGTCATTCACGTCGGTTGCACCGAATGGACTACTTCACGACCCGCACGTACTACAACCTCTACTGTACGTAATCTCAACGACCAAACTTGTGAATGTCTCCAATGGCGACTACATTGTGCTGCTGGATCGTATGCCAATCTTAGCACGTGCGTTGCAAGCGTCCGGTTTACTATGTGATCCTGGCAACCTATGTTGGGATGGCTTGTCCAAAGTACTCCTCAAATTCAGTAATTTGTGCGGATACTTATCCACGCTAACGTTGAATGAAGTCAGCCCAGCGCAAACAGACGTAGTCCAAACATTGGACAACGACGAGTCTTTATCTGCCTGCTTTCCTGGCGCACCATGCATACGTCGGCTCGGTACTTATGCTGCGAACCCCAATGGCCAGGCCATTTGTACAAAGAACGCCCCCCGATCAAAATATATGTAGTGGCTACTGCAACGACAATTTCCCCCAGTTGGATAAGATCGCTACTGTGTGGGGGGAAGTGTACAATTCAAGTCTGGCCGCTGTTGTCGCAAGTTGTGGCTATATGCGCAAGGACAACTTTATGTTGTTCTTAAATCATTACATGACAACGTTGAACAAACGACGAATTCAAGCAGTCATCAAGGAATCGGCAAGCCAAGACAGCATCAAACGCCAGCAATGGAGAACAATCAACCAATACATCCACGCCCTACAACAAGACATCAGGCACCATGCTAATGAGCCTCAATGCACCGCCACAACTCCATGCAAACTATGCAGCCCAAGTCAAGCATAGCCACAATAGCGCCGGCTCAGCAAAATGCACAACTAAGTACTGCGTAGTAGTCGCATAATCCAGAACCTTCCACGTCTAATCTGACCCTGCATAATCGAGTGCCGTAGGCTCAATTCTAGCTCGTTTTACTTGATTCTTGGACCTACCCCTTGCTCGAGACATGGTCACCACGGGGTGGTCGAGTGGTAGCGTCCACATGACATGGCTGGCCCAGGGGCAACCGAACAACCTACATCGCATACCTTTCACGTCTAATCTGACCCTACATATTCGAGTGCCATTGGCTCAATTCTGCACAAAGCTATACAAACGACCTCCGCTAGGCTGCCGTGCGCGAAGTTTTGTGGGTGGGTGCTCTATCGTCACTCGCTAGTATAAGGCTTGGTCAATGTGAAAAAAACAAAGTTAAAGTTGGGAATCGATTCCTCAACCTGCCGGTTTGCAACATAGACCCGTTACCGATAGGCTACATAGACTTGCGTGTAGAATAGATTATTGTTTCGTGCGTTAATAAATACAGTGGTAATGCGATTCGTTGTAGGTACCGTATAGTGTAATACGAGTCGGACAGTGATATGCCGTATCCGAATACGGATACGATGTGAATTACAAGGTGATTTTGGCTTTCGTTCCGGACATACAAATACAAAGTAGTCCTACACCAAGCCTAAAATTGCAAAAAACATTATATTACCACGGAAATTCAGTTTCACAGGAAATAGACAAGAAGAGAGATCGACGTGAATAAGAATACAAAGTCGTCATACA